ACCAGAGCAACCTTAGGCAAATTGCCCTTGGAAAGAGAGCATTTGGGGGTCAGCACACTACTGTTCACAGAACCATCTCTCAAACTCATGTTTCTACCACTCACGTTTGTCAGTCACCCATTGACTTAGGTTATCCTTAAGTTTGACTCAAATCCTAAAGAAGTTCATAAATTGAAAATAGTACATTTGTTCAAAATGTCCATACTATGATTGTTGTGCTTTGGCTTTACTGAGAAAATGAGTTATTTCTATTTATTTCTGCTCTTTGTGTGGTAGTTTTGCATCTTTATAAACTTTGTATAAAATATGTTCAAGTGTAGCAGTAATCCTAGACAGGGATGCTTGCAGAGCCCAAAATAAAAGCTTCTGTCCAATAGTGGTGAAAAAATTAATGGTATTCACAATAAAAATAAATAGAAATATTTAACACATTAACAGTTTCAATTCTGCTTAAAGCAACTGTTAACACTTTACTAGAATTATCTTGACTCCATGAATACATAGATTTTTAAAGCTTAAAACAAACCTAGAAAAACTTTTAAATCAGAAGACAGCCATGGATTATGTGCCCAAAATGCCACATATGATGCTTTTAAATGTCATTGCTTAAGTTAACCTAATGTAAAATATTGAAGCAGAAAATTGCCCTCCCTTCAACTTGAGAAGACTCCCATCTTCCTACCTTCCTTTGCTGTGCAGTTTGTCAGTCAGTGTTTCCAGTTTAATCTGAGCTCCTAAATCATTGTAGGAAATATTCACCAGGGTATTGTCTTCCTATGGACACAAAGAAGAAACCTTTTGATTCTAAGTGAAGAAATTAGGAAAAGCATAAACCTAAAATTAGAAATAAATCTTAATGATTAGGTACAATAAGGAAAATGGGAATTCCTGGGGCAGTAAACCTGGTAATGGTGTTTGGAATATAAGTTGTATATCAGATAGATGCACAGGCAAAAAGAGAGAGGGGGGGCAGGGGATGCTATAAATAAGAAAAAAAAGGTAAGTTTCCCACATCAGAGATTAAAATAAGTTGTGAAAATGAAATTTGAGTATTTATAATTTTCTCTATTTGTCTTGACTTTTAAATTTGACTTTAAAAGCAAAGAACTCCCAGACTATCAGGACTTCATTATGACCTGATTAAGGGGAATAATTGAGTGTCTTGATATGTGTTAAGCACTATATACTTTATAAATGATACTTCATTACATTATCACAATAGATGAGGTTCATAAGATTGTTATTTTCTCAAAAATTGGTATAGGACACAATTTGGGATTTTAAAAATCTCTCTGACTTTGTAATCTATATTGTGAACTAGTATGTTACTTCATTCTACATCTGAAAAACTTCCCCTAAAGTTATAACTGGAGGGAAAAAAAGTTGAAATTGCTCATTTTTAGCAGGAGGGGGCAAAATATAGAAACTTTAGATACCATCCCTAGTCCTTGATACTAGTCTTTGATATGGTAGCTGGTTTAGTTAGCTTTTTCATTAGTGTGACCAAAAGACCTGATAAGAACAGTTTTAGAGGAGGAAAATTTTATTAGGGGCTCATGGTTTCAGAGGTCTTAGTCCATAGATGACTGAGTCCATTGATCTGGGCCTGAGGTGAGGCAGAACAACATGGCAAAGGTGTGGTGGAGGAAAGAAGCTCAGGACATGGAACCAGGAAGCAGAGAGAGAATTTTCTTAGAAAGGACAAAATATTTACCCCCAAAATATATGCCCCCAGTGATGCACCTCTTCTAGCTACATGCTTCCTGTCTACAATCACAACCCAGTTAATCCCTATCAGGGGATTAATGCACTAATTAAGTTAAAAATCTCATAACCTAATCACTTACCTCTAAACTTTCTTGTATTGTCTCACGTATGAGATTTTGGGGGACACCTCATATCTAAATCACTTAGGTATTTGTTATTACCAATTGCCTGTCTCCAATTTCCTACAATCTAAAGATACAAGTTCAAATACTTAAACATGATAACACTTACTCCTTTTAGCATGATTAGCCTGGTTAAAATTACAACATCAGACCCAACCCCTGTTCAGGTCCTATACTAGATCATCTTCTCTTACTGCCAATATTGTATTACCTTTCTACTACAGTTGCCATCATATCATCTTCATGAGAGCTCAGATTTTTGTAATAGCATGCTAGCCAAACTCCTCCCTTCTAACTTTGCCCTCTTGAATTGTATTCCTTACTCAGCAGCCAATTGTATCACTTAAAAACATTAAGTAGCATAATATCATTCAGTTGGCTCACAGACCTTTAATAACTGTATATTTCTTTTAGAATAAAGGTTAAAATACTTGTCATAACCTACAAAAGTGTAACCAATCTGCCTGAACCCCTACCTGCTTCCTTGTCTAAATGCCATACACATTTCTCCTTCATTTGCTATGCTGTAATCATATTAATTTAGTTGCTATTTCTTGAACACTGAAAACAAGATAGGTATCAGAAGGTGAGTACTTATGGCTTACAAGAAACTTAAATAGCCTTGATAATTTCTTAGCCTGAACTAAGAAAATATGACATTTTGTCAAGTTATAGAATAAATATATAACTGAATGTATTAGACTATACTAAACAGATATTAGTAAACAGTGTATCTGCAAGGAATGACATTTATTCATGTATATAAACTATATTCTATAGAATATTTGAAAGTGTCTGGAACTTTTTCAGTGGATTGGAAGAGACAATAAGTAGACAATTATACAATACCTCAGATATTATATAGGAAAATAACATGGAAGAAGATTATGGATTAAAACGTAGTTGTGTTTTACAGAGTGGTCAAGGACCTTATGAATAAGATTACATGTGAGAAAAAAGCAGAAGAGATAATAATTATCAGAGATACAGCCTCCTACAGAAAGGATTTTCCATATTGATAGTAATAGATAATATAAAGACTCTAAGGCAGCTGCATACTTAATATGTTTAAGCCATAGCAAGGAGCAGGTTTGCTAAAGAACAGAGATGGAAGGAGAAAACTTAGAAAATGAGTTCTGAAAATTATCAGGGGTCAGATCACAGGGACAATTGTAAGGGCACTCCTTTTATTCTGAATGAAATAAGGAAACACTGAGAGATTTGAAGTAGAGAGTGATCTAACTTGAGCTAATTCTTTTTAAATTGCTCTGGATATTATTTTGGTACAGAAAATGGAAAGTCAAGAACAGAAACAAGAAAACAACCAATAATGAAATTAACTATTGCAGTAATACAGATGAACACAATGGTGGGTCGTCGGTTCAGGCTAATGATTGTGGGGAGAGAAGCATTTAGCAACTAGAAAACAAAATTCCCATTTACTGAGATGGGGGAAGAAAGAAATGCCAGAGAATTGACCTTTATATATATATAAACTTGTAATACTGTTCAAACTATAAGATAATCAAAATAAAACTTTAAGTCATTAAGAGGTCCAAGAGGAATTAAAGATTATCTTTTTGGTGGTTATATAGTTGTTTAATTCATGATAATTCATTGAGTTGTGCATTTTTGTATACTTTTCTGAATATGTCATATTTAAAATAAAGTCACATTTTTAAAAGGTGAAGGAAAACATATGGCTCCTGAGGAGATTAGATTCTAGTGCCTATAGATTTTTTTCTCTGCTTAACCCAGTGTCTTTCGTCATGGCATTTTTCTTAGTTTAGGTCTCTTGTCTTCTTCAGTCTTTACCAGAGGCATGCAAACTTATTCCAAAAAGAGCTGCATATTATTTATCATATAGTTTGTGGGTTCCAGAATCACCACTACTACTACTCAACTCTGTCATTACAAATATGACAGCCTAAAATGAGAGTATAGCTATAGTTCCATTGAACTTTATATATGAACATTGAAATTTGGATTTAATACATTTTTTTACATTTAAAAATGTTATTTTTATAATATCTTTTCAAACATTTTTAGCTTTGGGGATGTACAAAACAATGGAACTAATTAGACCTACAGGAAACAGTTTACCACCCTTAGCCTAGATTATTTGACTTGTTTTCTTACTAGTCTTTCAGTAATTACTTTTCGTAATAAGTGTCCTCTTTTCAGAGATATCTTCTTATAAGAAAAATGTGATCATATAATTCCCTTGCATGAGTAGCTCACAGAGCTGGTTAGTAGTGCACAGAGATGGTTAGGCAGGAGAGGTGCTGATCATACATGGCTTTGAGTGAGACAGGAGGTGGAGAAGTTCTTGGGGACTTATTGTTGAAGGGCTTTTATTCCCATATTAAATCCAGGATCTTGTTTTTTACTGGTGGGTTATTATTTGAGGATATTAGGAAAGAAAATATATGGTCAGTTTTTCATTAAAAAAAACATTCTTTACCCTTAGCTATTAGGTATTGTAAAATGGAATTTTAGCAATTTTGTGTTCACTGGAAGGAGAAAAAAATTCCAAATTGTAATAGGTTAAATAATAAATGGTGGGACAATTTTAAATCAACAAATATAGCATGAGATCTATATGAAAAATAACACACGCTTATATCCATCAATACATACATATGTGCAAATGCATGTGGATATTTAATGATATGTCTAAATATCTATACATGTAAATATATTCTAGAGAAGCACTGTGATATGATATGAACCCAATAATTGGTATTTGAATCAGAATGTCTACTTTTTGTTCATGTTTACCACATAATTAGGATGATAAATTTAGTCAATTATTTAACCATAATTTTCACAACAAAAAACAAGACAATTAAACTTGATGATAGCTTTAAATTACTACAGTTCCTCCCAATATGTGCATTTATTGAATACTTTAGATTCATCTGTGAGTTTCATTACACATGCCTTGCATGTCTTGTTTACACATTTAGATACTTTTGGGGTCTAAATCACAGTTAGATATTTCTTGTCATTATGGCACACATTTTATCTATTAGATGTTGCCATTTGATATTAACCTAATTATTATGTTATATTTTTAATCATATTTTTAAATACTTTGTTCAATTTTAGCCTTGGATCAACTGTTCAGTTCTCTTGTGATGAAGATTATGTCCTCCAGGGGGCAAAGAGTATCACCTGTCAACGGATAGCTGAAGTTTTTGCTGCTTGGAGTGACCACAGGCCTGTGTGTAAAGGTAAAAAAAAAAAGCTTTGCAATATATTGTAATAGTTTTAAGTTTTTATATGCACATACACTGCAATTAAATCTTTGAGTCATAATCTGTAAGAACTCATTTAGCTCATGTATTCAATAGTTTTTTTTTTTTTTATTGAAAATCTGTAAAGGTTTTCACTGTGCAAGGTTCCCAAGGAATTTCCATTCTAATAATCATATAATAGACTGAGGTATAAAGTGTGCATCAGAAGACACTAGATTTTTTTTTACCTCTTTAAAAGAATTATGCTTACTCTCCCCATGTAAGCATGAATATAGTTTTTTTAAACCATAAATCCATCTCCACTTTTAGAATGTGTCATTTTTATTGCTGATGTGTACACTTGTGTTAATTTTGGTAGCAGTGGAAGAACAGTTCAAATTCTTTTTTGTTTTTTCTATTTTTTTTCTTTTTGTGGGAATTGCACCTATTGTCTTAAACATGGTAGGCAAGCCATCTACCACTGAGCTATATTCCTAGTCCCAGAGCTCAGGTTCCATAATTATTTAAGTTAAACCCAGACAAAGAAATTAATAATCTTTGTATATTACCACTATGTATATTTGATACAAAAAACCGATTTAAGGAGGGAAGATGGCGGCGAGGGGAGTGCATTGCCCCCGTGTGCTGCTTCACTGTATGGGAGTATGACAAGTCAGGACAGCTAAAGGCTATCTTGTTAGGAATTTCCAGCAATAGTGAGGTGCTCCGGAACCTGGAGGAAGGATTTCCATCGCACGAGGATCGGCTACGGGGACTCAAATGCGAGAGGTTTGACGCAGGGAGGGTAACACTGCTTATTCAGCAAATCGCCCCGCGGCTAGAGTCTGCAGCGCGCGCTGGGAAACGAGGAGATAGCGACGCAGGGATACAGTGCTGCAGTTTCTGCCAGCCATGCAAGCACCGTACTCAGGGCTGAATTCTGGGTTCGAGACGGGGGAAGGAAGCGGTCCATCTCGGTTCTCCACACCGGTCAGACCACAGAGGAGGCCAGCAGCCACCATGTTGGAAAGCTGACGTCACCATCCCTGTTTTCGACTGACCGCAGCTCATTCAGCCATAGAACAGGTAATTTCAGGCTGCCATTCGCCTGCGGCTTGCAGACAGATTGCTAGGGTTCAGTGCCTGGGTGCTTCTTAGAACCTGATCTTATCGGAGCGATCACCGAGCGCGGGGCGGCCAGGTTCCGGCTCCCGGAACCGCCCTAGCCCAGGGCTGCGGAGCCTGCGGAGGCTGCTTCTTGGACCCTGCTCCTATCAGAGCATACACTAAGCACTAAGCGGCCAAATTCCGGCTCCCGAAACTGAGCCCGCGGGGACTGCTTCTTGGAGCCTACCCTTATAGGAGCTTACACCGAGCACGGAGCGGCCGAGTTCCGGCTCCCGGAACTTCCCTGGCCCGGGGCTAGGAGCCCGCGGAAACTGCTTCTCGGTCCGGGTCCTGCTGAGGGCCGGTCAGGACTCACCCGTTGCTTTGGTTGCCTGGCAAGGGGAACGAAATGCTGCCATTCGCATAGGATACCAACATGGCAGAGATCTGATGTCATCAGAAAGCGGCAGAGGAGAAAACTTCATCAATACCAGCGGCGACAGAAACAGTTGGTCTCCTGGTAGGGGGGGTGAGGCGCAGACACCTGAGTCTCCTCAATTTGTCGTCAAGCCAGAGGGGAGGAGCCGGGCAGCCGCCAGCGCCCGGAGCAGACCCAGCGGCTCACCAGCGTGGTGACCGAGTGACCCCAATTGGAGAGGGGGTGGAGCGGAGCCGCCACCCGCACCCGCAAGGTGGGCAGACCCGCGACCCAGTGGTACATGGGCGTGGTAGGAGGGGCAGGGCAGAGCCGCCTTTCGTGCTTGCAAGGTAAACAGAACTGTGACAGCCTGGCGGGTCAGGCCCAGTGGCCTGCCAGTGTGGTACACATGTCACCCCAACTGGAGTAGGGGCAGAGCAGATCCTTCTCCCACGCCCGGATCAGGCCCTGCTGGTGTGGTGGCCACGTGACCCCAATTGGAGTGGGGGCGGAGCGAAACCGCCACCTGTGCCTGCAGGGTGAGCAGACCTGTGACCAACCTGCAGATCAGGCCCAGGGGTCTGCAGGCGTGTTAGGAGGGGCAGGGCAGATCCGCCGCCCGCGCCTCCAAGGTAGGCAGACCTGCAACAGACCAGCGGATCAGGCCCAGGAGCCTGCCGGCGTGGTACACACACCACCCTAATTGGAGTAGGGGCAGAGCAGAGTCGCCGCCCGTGCCAGGAACAGGCCCAGCGTCCTGCAGGCGGGGTATTCACGACACCCCAATTGGAGTAGGGGCAGAGCAGAGCCTCCACCCGTGCCCGAAAGGTGGGCAGATCTGTGACTGCCGGTACGACAGACACGTCACCCCATTTGGAGTAGGGGCAGAGTAGAGCCGCCGCCAGCGCCTGCAGGGTAGGCAAACCTGCAACCGACCTGCGGATCAGGCCCGGTGGCCTGCCAGCGTGGTACACTCGTCACCCCAATTGGAGTAGGGGCAGAACAGAGCCGCCGCCAGCGCCCAGAACAGGCCCAGTGACCTGCCTGCGTGGTAGCCACAACACCCCAATTGGAATAAGGAGAGAGCAGAGCCGCTGCCCGCGCCTGCAGGAAAGATACGCAAGCAGTATGAAAAGACAAGGAAAGAAAGAACCACAAGCAATGCAGGTCAATGCAACTTTAGAAGAGGTAACAGCTGCAGCAGATGGAATGTCAGATAAAGAATTCAGGATATACATGCTTCAGACGATCTGGAGTATCAAGGAAGACATTAAACAGCAAAATCAGACAATGAAAGATCACTTCGACAATCAGAGACACGCCGTCTGATAGAAGAAAAAGTTGGCTACGATCTACATACTGTGGGGTCGGGCTCCAAATTCCTCAATAGGACACCCATAGCACAAAAGTTAATAACTAGAATCAACAAATGGGACTTACTCAAACTAAAAAGTTTTTTCTCAGCAAAAGAAACAATAAGAGAGGTAAATAGAGAGCCTACATCCTGGGAACAAATCTTTACTCCTCACACTTCAGATAGAGCCCTAATATCCAGAGTATACAAAGAACTCAAAAAATTAGACAATAAGAGAACAAACAACCCAATCAACAAATGGGCCAAGGACCTGAGCAGACACTTCTCAGAGGAGGACATACAGTCAATCAATAAGTATATGAAAAAATGCTCAACATCTCTAGCTGTCAGAGAAATGCAAATCAAAACCACCCTAAGATACCATCTCACTCCAGTAAGATTGGCAGCCATTAGGAAGTCAAACAACAACAAGTGCTGGCGAGGATGTGGGGAAAAGGGTACACTTGTACATTGCTGGTGGGACTGCAGATTGGTGCAGCCAATTTGGAAAGCAGTATGGAGATTTCTTGGAAAGCTGGGAATGGAGCCACCATTTGACCCAGCTATTCCCCTTCTTGGTCTATTCCCTAAAGACCTAAAAAGAGCATGCTACAGGGACACTGCTACATCGATGTTCATAGCAGCACAGTTCACAATAGCAAGACTGTGGAACCAACCTAGATGCCCTTCAATAGACGAATGGATAAAAAAAATGTGGCATTTATACACAATGGAGTATTACTCTGCATTAAAAAATGACAAAATCACAGAATTTACAGGGAAATGGATGGCATTAGAGCAGATTATGCTAAGTGAAGCTAGCCAATCCCTAAAAAACAAATGCCAAATGTCTTCTTTGATATAAGGAGAGTAACTAAGATCAGAGTAGGGACGAAGAGCAGGTGAAGAAGATTAACATTTAACAGGGATGAGAGGTGGGAGGGAAAGGGAGAGAGAAGGGAAATTGCATGGTAATGGAAGGAGACCCTCAGGGTTATACAGTGGAGGGGGTAGAGAGAGAGGAGGGGAGGGGAGGGGAGAGGTGGGGAGGGGGGAGGGTGGAGGATGGGAAAGGCAGCGGAGCACAACAGACACTAGTATGGCAATATGTAAATCAATGGATGTGTAACTGATGTGATTCTGCAATCTGTGTATGGGGTGAAGGTGGGAGTTCATAACCCACTTGAATCAAAGTGTGGAATATGATATGTCAAGAAATTTGTAATGTTTTGAACAATCCACAATAAAAAATTAAAAAAAATAAAAAATAAAAAATAAAAAAAAACCAAAAAACCGATTTAAGACAAAATTGACTCAGAAAATTTTTAATTTTTTTTTAGTTATACATGGACATAATATCTTTGTTTTTATGTGGTCCTGAGGATCAAACTCAGTGCTCACATGTGTGAGGCAAGTACTCTGCCACTGAGTCACAACTCCAGCCCCCAATTTTTAAATATAAGAAAAATATTATGAAAATGAAGTAAAATCTTAATTACTTGGTTGAAAGAAGAAGGAGAAGGAGGAGAAGAAGAAGAAAGGGGAAAAAAACAATCAGCTTAGGGTACCTTTCAATTTTTTTTCAATTTTTAAAATAGGAATTCAAATATATTAAGATATATTCATTTTGTATGACTTTGAATTCTAATAAGGAGTTTACATTGAAAAAAAAATACCTGATTATAAGTCACCATGTTTAGTAGTAGTATTAGTAATATCATCTTCAGACATTAAAAAAAACGGCATGCCAATATCATTAGACATAAGCCTCAAGATTTACAGAATCATACATTTGAGGTCAGACTGATTCCCAATAGCAAGGACTTGTAGTCCCTGTCAGTAGAATTAAAAGCTACTTCTCAGATATAAATACCAGTCACTGGCTTGTGACAGAGCATGGAAATAGCTATGATTTCACTGAGACAAGGTTTGAATATAATTGAACAATGTCATACCTTTTCTTGGCTCCTATATTATTACACTCTTTTCCCATCTTCTGAATGCCTCTTTGCCATCTGGTCCACTTGCTCATTTTCCTCTGTTTTAAAATCTGACTGCTGACCATGAAAACCCACTCTCCCTACTCCACTCCCTTGTCCCACCCCCACCATGTTTCTT